GGAGCAGTTTGCAAAAGAAGAGTGGTCCAAAATTCCAGTAGAGAGGTGTAAAAAACTCATTCATGGTTACAGGAAGAGACTGATTTCAGTTATTTTTTTCCAAACAGGGTGCTACCAAATGTTAAGGGTGCCAATAATTTTGGCCGGTACATTTTTGGGTTTCCGTGTGGGATTGTATCAGTTTTGACTTTTCTTCTCAGTTTTTTTGTGTTGTTCCAACGCAAACCAAAGAAATGAACACGTGAGTGCCAAAATATTTGCAACTGCAACCATTTTCTGAGAGAAGGGTTGCATTTTCTGACAGAATTGCAAGGGTGCTGATATTTTTGGCCATTTACCACCACTTAGGAACTAGTATGTATGAAAGAAAAAAGAAAAACTAGTAAATGAATTTTACCTAAAATTTGAGTTAAGATCAAAAACAAGAAGCGAGAAGGAAAGAAAGAAAGAAAGAAAGAAAGAAAGAAAGAAAGAAAGAAAGAAAGAAATCAAAGGAAATGTGACAAATCTGATAAAGAAACAGAACATAATGAAATAAAGAGATAGAAATCCTGGTTTCTGAAGCATCACACTGTTATTTATAATCTACAGCAGGGGTCCCCAACCCCCGGTCCGTGGCCTCGGCAGGACCGGGCCGCGGAGACAACTCTCCCATCCCCACCCCCCGCACGCGCTCTCTCCCGCATGGCCACCCACACGGCCTGCCCACCCTCACACACGGGTGAGGTCACTCATTTCTGGCCTTGATGAAAGTGGCAACATGGGCAGCAGGTGTCCAAAGGTGGCTTCATATCTAGGAGTCCTGGTTCCTGGTATTCCCCTGGATTGGGGGGTCTTGTCATGTCCCGTCCCAGATAGGTTGTGCTGTCTGGCCCTTTCTTGTTTCTCCCTGGCTAACTTGCCTCTTTTCTCCCTTGTTCCCATTCCCCACTCTTATGCTCCCTTCTCACCCCAATAGGATGGTTTCTGGGATCTCAGTTTTCTCCTCCTCCTTTCAGCGTCCTCCTGAGGGACCATTACTTGTTAGTCCAAATGCTTTCCATTCAGATCCATTCCTATCCAGGTGGGTCTTATCCTTTTCTTATTTCTACCTTGCCTGCTTCTTCTACCCCTCTCTTGGACTTCTCCTCCTTATATACCTCTCTCTCCCCCTTTTCTCCTATTCCTGCCTTTTCCAACTGTTCTTTCACCACCCTCAGTACTGCCTCTGCTTTCTTTAATAACCTAGCTTCCTCCTCTAATGGGGTTCCTGCCTTCACCAATGGCTCTAACCCATCTCTACCTATTTTCTCTGCCTGTCTATCTGTCCTCTGCTCTTCTCTCTCCATCATGGGAGTACAGTGGTGCCTCGACTTACGAACATCTCAACATACAACCATTTCGAATTATGACTAGCTCCAGTCACAAAATTTTGCTTCGACTTGCGGCCGGAGCTTCCAGTTACCAACGTGAAATTCAAATTGCTAATTGTTGGTAGGCGAAGAGGCTGCTTCTTTGTAGATCTTTCACCCCAGCAGTTAGAGAGTGTGCGATTAAAGGAGACTTTGGACTGCCTGGTGAGGTAAGGTGTTGCTTTCTGCTTTTTAAAAACTGTTCTGGGTGGGTTTTGCAGTGTGTGGGGGGGTTATATTTCTGTGCTGTGATGGGTCTTGGGGTGGTTGTTCTTTTTTTGGTTTTTCCCCATTTCCGATGGGTATTGGGGGGTTTGTTTGCTTATTGTTTTTGCCCCCATTTCCGATGGGTCTTGGGGGGTTGGTTGCTTTTTGTGTTTTTTTCCAATTTACGATTTTTGCTTTGCTTTCTTTGCATTTCTGATGTGCTCTGCTTGCTTTTTCCTTTGTTTTCTTAGCATTTCTGATGTGCTTCCCTTGCTTTCTGCTTTTTCTTTGCATTTCCAATGGGTCTTGCATGCGTCCCTTGCTTTTTGCTTTGCTTTCTTTGCATTTCCGATGTGCTCTGCTTGCTTTTTCCTGTTTTCTTTGCATTTCTGATGTGCTCTGCTTGCGTCACTTGCTTTTTGTTTTGTTTTCTTTGCATTTCCGATGTACTCTGCTTGCTTTTTGCTCTGCTTTCTTGCATTTCTGATGGGTCTTGCACGCTTGATTGCTTTTCTCTCCCCCCCCCGGGCCGGAAGGGATTAATCTTGCAGTGATTTTTTTATTTTTTTATTTGGCCAGAATGGATTGATTACATTTCAATGCATTTCAATGGGAAGTGGTGCTTCAACTTATGACCATTTCGAGTTACGACTGGAGTTCCAGAACCAATTAAGTTCATAAGTCGAGGCACCACTGTATTCACCTTTCTTACCATCCAAAATGTCCCCACCAGGGTGTCTATGGGCTTCTCTTGTGTCTTGGTAGGAAAGGACAGCACTTGAGCCAGGACAGTATCGGGCTGGCCATCGTCTTCAGTCAGTCCAATCCATTTCATGGTATGAGATACCCAGTGAAGCTAACATGATAGCATATTCAACTACCACATTTAAATTAAATTCCATGTTACAAACAAACTAAACCATAATTACCTACAGAGGTAAGAAATAAACAAATTCAGAACTAGTTATACGTCAGCTAAATTTTCAGCCATTTTGGGCAACATCTGTTAAAACGTGAATAAGAAAAAAGATGTAAGAGTTAAGTGCACACACGTGATGTGTAAGTATATCACATACACAGCCTTACCCATGAAGCTGTTGATCATTACATCGATAAGCATAACTGCTGGACAAAACAGCAATTTTGGCAAATCCACAAATTTTCACCCATGATAGAAGCTTTTGACAGAACGTCCTATATTTATTCTTCAACATCAAGAGGAAAAAGACTTTAGAATTCTGCATTAACAAAGTTAACTATTCAGTACCTTAATGTTTTGGTATTTTAAGAATTATGCAAGGATATATATCTTTCAGCTATTCAGCTTTGTGGCCTTAAACAAAACAGATTTTAAGTGATTACATTATCTTTCAAACACTTATTAAAATATAACATCAAATACTGTATGTTTAGCAAACCAATCACTGAAGCAATGCCTGACAGAAAGGGATATAAAGTAATTACCGTATTTTTTGCTCCATAAGACACAGTTCCTCCCCAAAAATGTGGGGGAGAATGTCCGTGCGTCTTATGGACCGAAGGCAGCAATTTCGTCGCCACTGGCCCCGTGGGGGGGAGCGTCGCAAGGGTCCGGGGGAGCCTTCCAGGACCCTTGCGAGGCTCCCCCACCCCCCACGGGGCCAGCGCCGGCGAAATCGGCAGCTTCCAGGTGGGGGGAACGTCTCAAGGGTCCTGGAAGCTCACTCAGACCCTTGCAACGCTCCTCCGACCCCTGCACGGGACCAGCGCCG